TTAGTTAGTTAGTTAGTTAGTTAGTTAGTTAGTTAGTTAGTTAGTTAGTAGTTAGTTAGTTAGTTAGTTAGTAGTTAGTTAGTTAGTTAGTTAGTTAGTAGTTAGTTAGTTAGTTAGTTAGTTAGTTAGTAGTTAGTTAGTTAGTTAGTTAGTTAGTTAGTTAGTTAGTAGTTAGTAGTTAGTAGTTAGTTAGTTAGTTAGTTAGTTAGTTAGTTAGTTAGTTAGTAGTTAGTTAGTTAGTTAGTTAGTTAGTTAGTTAGTTAGTTAGTAGTTAGTAGTTAGTTAGTTAGTTAGTTAGTTAGTTAGTTAGTTAGTTAGTTAGTTAGTTAGTTAGTTAGTTAGTTAGTTAGTTAGTTAGTTAGTTAGTTAGTTAGTAGTTAGTTAGTAGTTAGTTAGTTAGTTAGTTAGTTAGTTAGTTAGTTAGTTAGTTAGTTAGTTAGTTAGTTAGTTAGTTAGTTAGTTAGTAGTTAGTTAGTTAGTTAGTAGTTAGTTAGTTAGTTAGTTAGTTAGTTAGTAGTTAGTTAGTTAGTTAGTAGTTAGTAGTTAGTTAGTAGTTAGTTAGTTAGTTAGTTAGTTAGTATTAGTTAGTTAGTTAGTTAGTTAGTTAGTTAGTTAGTTAGTTAGTTAGTTAGTTAGTTAGTTAGTTCGTTAGTTAGTTAGTTGTTAGTTAGTTAGTTAGTTAGTTAGTTAGTTAGTTAGTTAGTTAGTTAGTTAGTTAGTAGTCGTTAGTAGTAGTTAGTTAGTTAGTTAGTTAGTAGTTAGTTAGTAGTTAGTTAGTTAGTTAGTTAGTTAGTTAGTTAGTTAGTTAGTTAGTTAGTTAGTAGTAGTTAGTAGTAGTTTTAGGAAGTTAGTAGAAAAGCTTTTTGGTTTTGGATAATTTTTAGAACAAAAATATATTTTTGTTGTTAAATAACAGCGAATAAGCTCTTCCTCCAACCACCCAATATTTACGAAGTCGCAGAGGTTTTTAGTTTTGACTAAATTTTCGCACTAACAATCGTTTTTTTGCTGATAAAAGTTCATGATCACAATTTATGCTCTTTTAAGTTTATACTCAATTCTTGGACTAAAAATTAATATCCATAAAGTCAGTGATTGACAATATTATAATTTGAAATCCATATTAATAAGTTTCATTTGAAAGTGCATGTTAATAAAATACGTTCTTTTACATTCTCAAATTAACACTTAAGCATTTGTTAACACTACTGTTTCAACATGCGCTTTGCCTTATAAATAAATGCTTAAGTGTAAATATGAGAATGTAAAAGAACGTATTGTGAACTTTATCTTTACATAAATAAAAACAACAACACATCCATTGCTAGTTAAAGATGCTTCCACTACAAATGTATATTTCCCATTGATTGGAGAGTTCTTGGTGTTAAAACTATTTATACTAAAGTGATGAGCGTGAAAGCTTGCTTATTCATTTACTCTCATTACTTTGTAACTTTTTGGGCATGCGCACTGTGCCGTAAATTTGTCTTATAAAATTGTAGCAAGCTTAAGGTGTTGTTGCTGTTGTAAATGCGTATTTTGTATTGTATTATTGTTTCACAATTTATGTATACTAAAACCGAGGTTTCGACATGACACATTTGCAGTAAATTATCAATTAAATAGAAAATGCCAGAGATCCTAAATAGTTTTTAGCTTAAACGTTTATTTCATTCAGTTTAGGCTATCATATATTTATGTATGTAGTTGAGCTGCACTTTGTCTTTGTTCTTATTTGCCATTATGTCCATTGACATACATATGTATGTATTACTAGATAATTTTTGACGATAATCAATGAAATACTCCCAGCACTAAATTGTCAATAATTGAGCATAGCAGTTAAAAAGTGCAATAATTCATATTGAATCTATAAACCTTTTTTTGTATATAAAGAAGTAGATTTATTTATTTTTGTTATTTTAAAATCTGTCTATTTACATATATACATATCTATGTAAGTATGTATAATAAGTCATTGATAGTATACAATTTCTCCGCAAAGTCGAGATACAGATAGTTTTGCGGTTTTATTACATATGTATGTATAATATTCATTGTATATATGTACATAGCTTTTTATCTTTTAAAAAAAAGAGAATTTAAGTTTGATTTGTAACTAAGTGCAAAATAAATAATAAGGGCCGATTTTAAAGTTTACACTAAAGAATAATTTTTTTCTTTTAAAAATTAATTTTGAAAAATTCGGAATAAAAACAACCTAGTGCCATTTTTATTCAAAATTACAATTATTTGTTTAAAATTGTTTTCCTTCTCATTTTCTAGAGGTAACCTAATATTTTTACATACTAAAATTTCATTGTAAGTAATCGTGAAAAGTCTACATGTAGAATTATTATAGATTTGTTAATTCACATACCCACATTTGTTGCAATTATATAAAGAACGAACTAAACTAGTTAACTGGTTGTTAAAACTAGTTATAAAGGTTCTTAACCCTAACAAAAACAAGCTTTATACATATGTATATGTAATTATTGCCAGCATCTGATGGGAGAGTACAATGTGTTAGTGCTAAGGTTTGTAATGGATAGAAAAATTATTCCTACCATCGACTTTGTCTAAGTAATAATTTTAATTAAATTACTCATAAACATATATGTAAATTATTAAATGTTTAAAATTCATATATAGTTTCTGTAATAAACTGATCATAGCTTCTACGTATCATCCAAATTTGTTAATCATTTTAAGGTAACATTTTGTCGGGTTAGATCATTTCTAATATGATTTTTTTTCTTTATACCGTATAATAACCTTTATTTTAGGGCTGTAAAAAGTGATCGTTATTTAACGATCGTTTAATAGTTAACACCTTAAAATATGCCATATTTTTAAATTGTATTATATGTTTCGTTTAGTCTTGTGCACAGTGGGCATATGTTTGTAAATTTAAGTAACTTTATTTTGCCAAAAATATTATTTAAAATATTTACTTTTGAAGTTACGCGTCACTAAAGCCTAACGTAGCCTAAAGTCCTTTCTACTTAAATCCTTAGAACGGGTTCTAGATAACATGGTTAAATGCAGAATAAAACGGACAAAGACCTGAAGTTTAAGTAACTACAATGATTGAAGTTCTATACTACACAGAGTAACCTTTAATAGCAAATTCTATACACTTTCGGTCTGAACTGATATGTAACTAAATGCTAAGGAATATATGGAAAAGCTGCGAGATGTATTATATTATTACTTGAAAAAGGCTTTATCGTGCTACACCAGAGGGTGGTATTTTATCGGCAGTGCTTTGGATAATCACGATTACTAGTCTCTTAAGGACCTTAACCAATGAAGAATTTAGACAAGTCTGCTACTTAGACGATGTCGTAATACTTCTAAGGGGCACGAATGGAAATCATAAATGCTGGAGGACCTAGGAGATTCTAGTGTGCTCTACCAAGAGATCCGAATATCAATCAACGAATGTCACAGGCATAACAAAAATTCCTACGGTATTCAAAGCTATAGAAACATTGCTCGATATTCCCTTGATCGAAATGCATGTAGAAACGAGGTTGCACATACGGGTGTTATATATAAGAGTTTTATACAAATACTTAGACGAAGGGGCACGAATGCAAATCATTTATGCTGGAGGACCTAGGAGATTCTAGTGTGCTTGGTCTCAGATAGAAAAGTGTGGCCAAGCAAAATTCTGCGGGAATCTGTTGATAACTAGCTGACAAAACGGGTCAGGAGATCTAAGTTAAAAATATATAATAATCACAACACTAGCTTTCAGATAGAAGTCCATGCTATCACGGTATATGTGAAATGGATTAGATTCAATTTAGCTCTAACAGAGGTTAACATATTTTTCGACAGCTAGATAAAGGAAAGGGCACTTTAGGAATTTAATCTGACGAATGAAAAACCGTTCGACACAATGAGGTTTGAATTGAATTGGCCAAAAGATTCCCATAAGTCCAATTGCAGTAATGGAATGATGAGTGGAACTGCCAAAAATATGGGGCAATCTTGACGATATGCTTTATTATGAATAAGTCCGATGTTAATATGATTTTACCTATTCTTTGTGGACACACATGGGTACGTTTGTATGGGTGCTATACGATATAGGCGACCGATTTTAACCATTTTCAATAGGCTTCACCTTTGAAGAAGAGTATGTGCCAAATTTCATCAAATTATCTTGAAAATTGCGGCCTGTAGAGTGCGCACAAAGTTTACATGGACATACAGACGTACAGACATAGATAAATCGACTCAGAATGTGATTCTGATACTCTAAGGTGGGTCTAGGAATAATATTTTTGGGTGTTACAATCATCAGCATAAACGCATAATACCCTTCCCACTATAGAGGTGTAGGGGGGTATAATGAACGAATGAATTCAGACGAAACTTTTTATTATTTCCAGGATTTCGTCGAAATTAGATCAAAATATCTTGGCATCGATGTTATTTCAGATATTGCATCTCTCTTATTGGAAATTTGTAAGAAAGTTCTTTCACAATGAGGTGCTCAATAGGCATCTATCTATGGACGGACGGACAGACAGACATAGCTAAATCGAAACAGAAAGTGATTCTGAGCCGATTGGTATATTATAAGGTGGGTCTAGGCCCAATATTTTTAGGTGTTACAAACATCAGCACAAACGCATAATACCCTCCCGACTATAGTGGTGTAGGGTATAATGAACGAAAGAATTCAGACGTAACGAAGAATTTCGTTGAAATTAGATCAATATATCTTGACATCGATATTATTTTAGATATTGCCTCTTTCAGAAACTCTTATAGGAAATTTGTAAGGAAGTTCTTTCAGGATGGGACGCTCAATAGGCGTCTATTGCTCAAAGTACATGTGTATGAGCATTATAGTGTTTTCTGTTGGAATACCCTTTATAGGAGCTTGAAGTAACTATTAGTTCTTTAATGAAGATGTTAAAACAAAATTCTGTGTCGAGTCACTCGACTACTAATTGAAAATAAAATAATCCTTTTTTTATATCCACAAAATATACATTTATTTTTAAAAATCTTCAGAGTATACAATACTACAAAAAAAATTGTTTTTGATTTTTAATACAATTAAATTTAATTTATAATGAAAAAAAAAAAAATAAATTTTAAAGATTATTGTGTCTTATAAAAAAATGTATATTAATTTTAAATTTTTATGCTTGTAAATCGTATATCAAAATATAAACAATAATATTCCCTAAAACATCACGTTATTATTTAAAAATAGTTTTATTAAAAAAAAAAAAAAAAAATAGAAGAAATTAAAACTGTCTACCAAATGTAACTTAAGTTATTAAAAATAATAATTTAATTGTATTTTGATTTTTTTTAAATAAATAAGCCGTACTGTAAAATGTAAATGGATTAGCTTAAATTGAAGTATGTTTAATAAAAACACCATGAGTTTAGAATAATTTTATTGGCTAATACAATAATAGTATTTATTGCCTTAACTAATTAGTATTTTTTTAATTAAATTTTTTAAACTCATTATGTTCTTTTGGATTTTAGCTTAAGGCATAATTTGGCTTTTTTGTTCAATTTAGCTTTCGTTTTAATTTTTTTAGTTATATAAAATTTATTTTCGTTTTTAATAATTTAATACACTTTTCTTATTTGTTAATATTTAAAATAAATAAAAAAGTTTTTTTTTTGTTCATCGAAAGTTTTTTGTTTTATATTTTATTTAAAAAATAACAATTAAATCACGTTTTTTTTCTTCTTCATAATCGCAGAGCAAGATATATACTTAATAACTATAAAAACAAACTAAAAAGAAAACTAAAGGGAAATATCTAAACGATTTTTCCGATTAATAATAAAATAAAAAAAAATTGCTTTTAAATTCTTGTACGTTAAAGTAATCTTAACGAGCTGTCTTCAACTTCCATTTCAAGAATAGATAAGCTGACACTCTTAAGACTACGAATATAACAACCAAGGCCACTATATCCAAAGTATAATCAGCATCAACCATATCCAGTTCCTCCAAAGTGGTCATGGGCGATTTGAAATGACAATAGGTTTGGAAGCACTTGAGTTTCTCACGTCCATAACCATAGGTGGCCAAAGCAGTACCTTCGAAACCGTATCTGATGTAAGACAAGTAAGTGATCCATCTGAGATACACAGGTATAGCATCGAATGATACAAAGAATCCAGAGAACAGCAAGAAGGGCACTGACATAACAGGAGCTAAGAAGACACCATTTTGTACATTCATGGCGGCACCTACAACCAAACCCACCGATTGTGCTACAAATGAGATCATCAAACAGGCTCCCAAAAACATAGAGAAACGGAAAAGCTCCCATGGTTGAGATGTGAAGTAGTAGACTATGGATACGTAGATAACACAGAAAATGGCCTGGAATTAAATAAAAATGTCATAGAGTTGATTGGATTTTTAAAATGTTATATAATTATGTTTGTATTTACCTGGAATGGAATATCTGCTACCGATATGGCCAAATAATAGGACTTCAGCGAATACCATCGATTAAAGTTTTCTTTCAGCAATACCGGCATTTCGAGAGGGACTATGGAAATTAAAGTAAAAGCAAGGAAATTTGGATCAGATTTAAGTTTAAATAAAAAAGTCTATATATAAGATATAGTTTAGTCCACATACTAGTCTATAGTTTAGTCAAAAATTTAGTGTAAGATGTAGTCTATGGTCTTTTCTAGTCTATAGCCTGGACAATAGTCTGGAAAATAGTCTGGACAATAGTCTAGTCTATAGTCTAGTCTATAGTCTAGTCTATAGTCTAGTCTATAGTCTAGTCTACAGTCTAGTCTATAGTCTAGTCTACAGTCTAGTCTATAGTCTAGTCTATAGTCTAGTCTATAGTCTAGTCTATAGTCTAGATCTAGTCTATAGTCTAGTCTATAGTCTAGTCTATAGTCTAGTCTATAGTCTAGTCGATAGTCTAGTCTATAGTCTAGTCTATAGTCTAGTCTATAGTCTAGTCTATAGTCTAGTCTATAGTCTAGTCTAGTCTATAGTCTAGGTCCAGTCTATCTACAGTCTAGTCTATAGTCTAGTCTATAGTCCTAGTCTATAGTCTAGTCCTATAGTCTAGTCTATAGTTCTAGTCTTAGTCTTCTAAGTTAGTCTATAGTCTAGCCCATAGTTAGTCTATAGTCTAGCCCATAGTCTAGTCTATAGTCTAGTCTATAGTCTAGTCTATAGTCTAGTCTATAGTTCTAGTCTATTAGTCTATAGTCTATTAGTCTAGTCTATAGTCTAGTCTATAGTCTAGTCTATAGTCTAGTCTATAGTCTAGTCTATAGTCTAGTCTATAGTCTAGTCTATAGTCTAGTCTATAGTCTAGTCTATAGTCTAGTCTATAGTCTAGTCTATAGTCTAGTCTATAGTCTAGTCTATAGTCTAGTCTATAGTCTAGTCTATAGTCTAGTCTAGTCTATAGTCTAGTCTATAGTCTAGTCTAGTCTATAGTCTAGTCTATAGTCTAGTCTAGTCTATAGTCTAGTCTATAGTCTAGTCTAGTCTATAGTCTAGTCTATAGTCTAGTCTATAGTCTAGTCTATAGTCTAGTCTATAGTCTAGTCTAGTCTAGTCCATAGTCTAGTCTATAGTCTAGTCTATAGTCTAGTCTATAGTCTAGTCTATAGTCTAGTCAATAGTCTAGTCAATAGTCTAGTCAATAGTCTAGTCTATAGTCTAGTCTATAGTCTAGTCTATAGTCTAGTCTATAGTCTAGTCTATAGTCTAGTCTATAGTCTAGTCTATAGTCTAGTCTATAGTCTAGTCTATAGTCTAGTCTATAGTCTAGTCTATAGTCTAGTCTATAGTCTAGTCTATAGTCTAGCCTATAGTCTAGTCTATAGTCTAGTCTATAGTCTAGTCTATAGTCTAGTCTATAGTCTAGTCTATAGTCTAGTCTATAGTCTAGTCTATAGTCTAGTCTATAGTCTAGTCTATAGTCTAGTCTATAGTCTAGTCTATAGTCTAGTCTATAGTCTAGTCTATAGTCTAGTCTATAGTCTAGTCTATAGTCTAGTCTATAGTCTAGTCTATAGTCTAGTCTATAGTCTAGTCTATAGTCTAGTCTATAGTCTAGTCTATAGTCTAGTCTAGTCTAGTCTATAGTCTAGTCTATAGTCTAGTCTATAGTCTAGTCTATAGTCTAGTCTATAGTCTAGTCTATAGTCTAGTCTATAGTCTAGTCTATAGTCTAGTCTATAGTCTAGTCTATAGTCTAGTCTATAGTCTAGTCTATAGTCTAGTCTATAGTCTAGTCTATAGTCTAGTCTATAGTCTAGTCTATAGTCTAGTCTATAGTCTAGTCTATAGTCTAGTCTATAGTCTAGTCTATAGTCTAGTCTATAGTCTAGTCTATAGTCTAGTCTATAGTCTAGTCTATAGTCTAGTCTATAGTCTAGTCTATAGTCTAGTCTATAGTCTAGTCTATAGTCTAGTCTATAGTCTAGTCTATAGTCTAGTCTATAGTCTAGTCTATAGTCTAGTCTATAGTCTAGTCTATAGTCTAGTCTATAGTCTAGTCTATAGTCTAGTCTATAGTCTAGTCTATAGTCTAGTCTATAGTCTAGTCTATAGTCTAGTCTATAGTCTAGTCTATAGTCTAGTCTATAGTCTAGTCTGTAGTCTAGTCTAGTCTGTAGTCTAGTCTAGTCTGTAGTCTATAGTCTGTAGTTTGTAGTCTAGTCTAGTCTGTAGTCTAGTCTAGTCTGTAGTCTAGTCTAGTCTAGTCTAGTCTAGTCTAGTCTAGTCTAGTCTAGTCTAGTGTGTAGTCTAGTCTAGTCTGTAGTCTAGTCTAGTGTAGTCTAGTCTAGTCTAGTCTAGTCTAGTCTAGTCTAGTCTAGTCTAGTCTAGTCTAGTCTAGTCTAGTCTAGTCTAGTCTATAGTCTACTCTAGTCTATAGTCTAGTCTATAGTCTATGGTCTAGTCTTAACTATAGTCATGTCTACAGTCTAGTCTCTTGTTGTGTATAGTCTTTTTCAAGGGATCTGATTTAATGAAATCTCCTTTTTGAACATTTGACTTACATGATAAAATTGTAATTGTCATGGAAGTGTACATTAAGAACAACATGTTGAAGAACAGGAAACCCAGATTACTTAAAACCTTAGCACCATCATTGCCAATATCATAGTAGAGAGCACCGATCAGGAAACCAACCAATAAATGAGCAAACAAACGCAAGTACATAAGAGTCTGAAATGAAGGAATAAAAATCCTTTAAACTACAAGCCCACAAATAAATTCCTCTCCGCACACTTACCCAATCACGATAACTGAAGAGTAGAGTACGTTTTAGAACAACCCAAAACTGATGGAATTGTGAGGTGGGATAACGTTCGGGTGAAGCAATATCCGCCGACAATAAAGCTGTCGTACAATTATCCGTCTTTTCCAGCTCAATCATGGCATCACCTTTTTCATTTGTACTCACTACCGGCTCGACGGACTGTTTGGCAATATCGTTAACCAAATTACCCTTAAGTATGCCATTGTTTAAAGTTAAATTATCCTCATATTTGCCACTTGTCGAATTGGCCGCATCATTTTTATCGAGTATAGCTTTAAGGTTTTGTACCTTTATCAAATCATTGCGTGCCTTCAAGCCAGCATAATCGGCTGATGTGCGTATATCCTTTTTACCATTATCGATGGCATCTACCAAACGTCTGGTGTGATCACCATGTTCACCACAAGCTACCTCAATGATATAACTAGCAGGATTGTGATAACTGGGACATTCCAGATTCAAAGTGGACAAGAAAGGCACTAATTGTTTGGTACTACCCTGATAAACACACTGACCATCGGCTAAAGTATACAATTGATCGAACATTTCAAAAAGACGGGCCGAAGGTTGATGTATGGTACAGATAATGGTACGACCACCTTCAGCCAACATTTTCAACAGATTGATACATTGGAAACAAGTGGAACTGTCAAGACCCGAGGTGGGTTCATCGAAAAACATGATAGGTGGATTACTGACCAATTCCAAAGCAATTGATAGACGTTTCTTTTGACCGCCCGAAAGATTGCGTGTCAAGGTGTTGCGGTGTTCGCTTAAACTCAAAGTCAAAAGGATATCGTCGATCTGAAAGAGAATGAGAGACGCTTAGAGAAGTTGTATAAAAAATAAAATAATAATTATAAATAATTTAGAAACAAAACTGTTATATCGTTTAAATGAGTTCTACTAAATTTTGAAATCATTTGAAAATAAATATCAAATCTTGATTAAAACCTTAAATAAAAAGTAAATAAAAGAAATATTTCTTAAACATAACTTTCTAACATATGTATGTATCTTGTATCTACAAAATAGCTACTATTTAGTTATACAAATATGTATAAAATTGTTGTTGGGTATTTATAAAACGTGAGATAAATTATTCGAAATATCTAACATCTCAAAAACTCATGTTTGTAGCAAATCTGCTAATACTTAAAACAAACAATTAAACAAGAAATGCAAAATATTTCCGTTTAAAAAAAGTTGTATGACAAATTAAACTAACAAATATAATTTTTACGGAAATAATTTATAGTTTTTTGTTTATTTGCAGTATTACTGAGATTGAAGCATATTTAGTTGTTTGAGTTATAAAACTGAACTATGTAGTTAAACAATCATTAGACAGATGCAAACAAATAAAACTAAGACATTAAAAAGTAGTTTAGAATATTATAGTTTTTTTTTATGGCAAAAATTGCAGACTCATGGCGAAGGAATGAATTTTAGAGATAAAACTTTATAGTTATGTAGAATGAAGATATACATACATACATATTTATAGATAAAGCTGTAGTTTGAATCAAAACATTCAGTTTGTGCAATTCAAATGATTTTATTTAATATATGACGCACTTTGTTTATGTGTTTTCTTAAAAAAATTATAATTAATAATATGTAAAAAGAAAAATAATAAACAAAAACTTGTTTTAAAATATTTATGAAAAGAATTTACAGAAATCTGTATTTTGTTAGAACCAACAAATATAAACAGGTTTTCAATATGTTTATACAAAACAAATACGTACTTAAAATACATTATTCGTGGATGATAAGCAGGGAGAGGTTTTGTATAATGTAACTCTTATCAGTTCTAGTTTAGTTCTAGTTCAATTCTAGTTCAGTTCTATTTCAGTTCTATTTCAGTTCTAGTTCAGTTCTAGTTCAGTTCTAGTTCAGTTCTAGTTCAGTTCTAGTTCAGTTCTAGTTCAGTTCTAGTTCAGTTCTAGTTCAGTTCTAGTTCAGTTCTAGTTCAGTTCTAGTTCAGTTCTAGTTCAGTTCTAGTTCAGTTCTAGTTCAGTTCTAGTTCTAGTTCAGTTCTAGTTCAGTTCTAGTTCAGTTCTAGTTCAGTTCTAGTTCTAGTTCAGTTCTAGTTCAGTTCTAGTTCAGTTCTAGTTCAGTTCTAGTTCAGTTCTAGTTCAGTTCTAGTTCAGTTCTAGTTCAGTTCTAGTTCAGTTCTAGTTCAGTTCTAGTTCAGTTCTAGTTCAGTTCTAGTTCAGTTCTAGTTCAGTTCTAGTTCAGTTCTAGTTTAGTTCTAGTTCAGTTCAGTTCAGTTCTAGTTCAGTTCAGTTCTAGTTCAGTTCAGTTCTAGTTCAGTTCAGTTCTAGTTCAGTTCAGTTCTAGTTCAGTTCAGTTCAGTTCAGTTCAGTTCAGTTCAGTTCAGTTCTAGTTCAGTTCTAGTTCAGTTCTAGTTCAGTTCTAGTTCAGTTCTAGTTCAGTTCTAGTTCAGTTCTAGTTCAGTTCTAGTTCAGTTCTAGTTCAGTTCTAGTTCAGTTCTAGTTCAGTTCTAGTTCAGTTCTAGTTCAGTTCTAGTTCAGTTTTAGTTCAGTTCTAGTTAAGTTCTAGTTCAGTTCTAGTTCAGTTCTAGTTCAGTTCTAGTTCAGTTCTAGTTCAGTTCTAGTTCAGTTCTAGTTCAGTTCTAGTTCAGTTCTAGTTCAGTTCTAGTTCAGTTCTAGTTCAGTTCTAGTTCAGTTCTAGTTCAGTTCTAGTTCAGTTCTAGTTCAGTTCTAGTTCAGTTCTAGTTCAGTTCTAGTTCAGTTCTAGTTCAGTTCTAGTTCAGTTCTAGTTCAGTTCTAGTTCAGTTCTAGTTCAGTTCTAGTTCAGTTCTAGTTCAGTTCTAGTTCAGTTCTAGTTCAGTTCTAGTTCAGTTCTAGTTCAGTTCTAGTTCAGTTCTAGTTCAGTTCTAGTTCAGTTCTAGTTCAGTTCTAGTTCAGTTCTAGTTCAGTTCTAGTTCAGTTCTAGTTCAGTTCTAGTTCAGTTCTAGTTCAGTTCTAGTTCAGTTCTAGTTCAGTTCTAGTTCAGTTCTAGTTCAGTTCTAGTTCAGTTCTAGTTCAGTTCTAGTTCAGTTCTAGTTCAGTTCTAGTTCAGTTCAGTTCTAGTTCAGTTCTAGTTCAGTTTCTAGTTCAGTTCAGTTCAGTTCTAGTTCAGTTCTAGTTCAGTTCTAGTTCAGTTCTAGTTCAGTTCTAGTTCAGTTCTAGTTCAGTTCTAGTTCAGTTCTAGTTCAGTTCTAGTTCAGTTCTAGTTCAGTTCTAGTTTTCAGTTCAGTTCAGTTCAGTTCTAGTTCAGTTCTAGTTCAGTTCTAGTTCAGTTCTAGTTCAGTTCTAGTTCAGTTCTAGTTCAGTTCTAGTTCAGTTCTAGTTCAGTTCTAGTTCAGTTCTAGTTCAGTTCTAGTTCAGTTCTAGTTCAGTTCTAGTTCAGTTCTAGTTCAGTTCTAGTTCAGTTCTAGTTCAGTTCTAGTTCAGTTCTAGTTCAGTTCTAGTTCAGTTCTAGTTCAGTTCTAGTTCAGTTCTAGTTCAGTTCTAGTTCAGTTCTAGTTCAGTTCTAGTTCAGTTCTAGTTCAGTTCTAGTTCAGTTCTAGTTCAGTTCTAGTTCAGTTCTAGTTCAGTTCTAGTTCAGTTCTAGTTCAGTTCTAGTTCAGTTCTAGTTCAGTTCTAGTTCAGTTCTAGTTCAGTTCTAGTTCAGTTCTAGTTCAGTTCTAGTTCAGTTCTAGTTCAGTTCTAGTTCAGTTCTAGTTCAGTTCTAGTTCAGTTCTAGTTCAGTTCTAGTTCAGTTCTAGTTCAGTTCTAGTTCAGTTCTAGTTCAGTTCTAGTTCAGTTCTAGTTCAGTTCTAGTTCAGTTCTAGTTCAGTTCTAGTTCAGTTCTAGTTCAGTTCTAGTTCAGTTCTAGTTCAGTTCTTGTTCAGTTCTAGTTCAGTTCTAGTTCAGTTCTAGTTCAGTTCTAGTTCAGTTCTAGTTCAGTTCTAGTTCAGTTCTAGTTCAGTTCTAGTTCAGTTCTAGTTCAGTTCTAGTTCAGTTCTAGTTCAGTTCTAGTTCAGTTCTAGTTCAGTTCTAGTTCAGTTCTAGTTCAGTTCTAGTTCAGTTCTAGTTCAGTTCTAGTTCAGTTCTAGTTCAGTTCTAGTTCAGTTCTAGTTCAGTTCTAGTTCAGTTCTAGTTCAGTTCTAGTTCAGTTCTAGTTCAGTTCTAGTTCAGTTCTAGTTCAGTTCTAGTTCAGTTCTAGTTCAGTTCTAGTTCAGTTCTAGTTTATTTTAAGTTCGGTGAAGATAAATGAACTTAATGGCATAAAGATTTTAACTAAATTTAACTGTTGAAAATTTATTAAATTTCCTACCAGTAATTTAAAATAAAACTTCATCGTTTTCAAAATGCCTTCATAAGCAGTTTAGTTTTTCTTGCATTTTTAGTTTTGTTTATAATTATAATAAAAAAAGTTTTCTTTGTTGTCTTCTTTTAATGCGTTTTATTTGCGTTAACAGTTTTTTTACTTACCATTGACATTTTTTCTGGTTTAGTGAATTTTTTACTTAATTTCAAATTTGTGGCCACTGTCATTGCTTCTTGTACGGTCAAATTGCCATGCAATTGATTGTCTTGCATAATGTAGGCGGATAATTTACGGAATGCACTAATGTTACGTTCATGACCATTCATTGTTACACTGCCTTCAATGTTGGAGGTTCTGTAAGAAGAAAGATAAGATGGTAAATGATAAAATAAAGTTTAAAGAATTGTATATAGATGTTGTTTTAAGATATTTTATGAATAAGATTATTAGCAGTAATAACTGGAGAATATAGAAATTCCAAAATACTTAAATTATGCTTTTCTGATAGGTAGAGAAATATGTTTCTCATTTTTAAATTCCTAAAATGGCGAAATTTGAGTTATGACAATTTTGCAGTAAATGAGTGATATAAATATTCATAAACTTGTTTTTGCACATGATCTCTTGACTTTAATTGATTAGAAACCAAGCAATACAGCTTGAAAATCAATACAAAATAAACAATTATACAAATAGAAGGAAATTAAAATGTCTGTCTTAAGTTTATTTTAGCTTTAAGTTTAGAATGATTGGAGCGATCACTAGACTTATACAAACAATTAAATATAAGCATTTAAATAATTAAGTATTTAAAGAGAAAAAAAAATAAAATTAGTTTTTAATGATTTTAAGAAAAGGGAAATTAAAAAGACAGGTTTTAGTCAGTATGAAATAGAGAAAAAATATAAATTCCACAATAAATCCAAATGTTGGTTTTTTCAATATAAAATAACAAGTTTAAACGCATTTAGAGAAACAGGCTTATAATGTTAAAATTGAAATCAAAACTTTTTTCTTGCGTTCAAGCTTAAAAAAAGTTCTTATCCAAAAAACTTAAAATTGAAATTATATTTTTCTAACTACAACAAAAATCAGGTCATTTTATGAAATAAACGAAAATCCATTTACATATGTATAAAAATTGTTGTTTGCTTTAAAATATTTTTTTTAATTTTATGTAAATGCATAAATTTCATGTCGAAATAAGCTTTAAGGAAATGTTTTGAAAGAGAATTTTTTTATTACATTAATGTGTTTTATTTTTAATTATGTGTATTTTTAGGTACAAAGTCGAAAGAATGTTTCTTATAAACGAATGAAATGGCACGTTTGAAATGTGATTTGTTGCTCTTGAACGAATTTTAACACATCTCTTAAAGTTGTTACTGAAAGTCGTTTCATTTAAATTCGAATGAGGGGGTATTTATACCCTACACCACTATAGTGGTTGATGTTTGTAACACCCAAAAATATTGGTCGTACACCTTAAAGTATACCAATCGGCTCATAATCACTTTAGCTATGTCTGTCTGTCTGTCTGTCTGTCTGTCTGTCTGTCTGTCTGTCTGTCTGTCTGTCTTTCTGTCCGTCTGTCTGTCTGTCCGTGAGTCTGTGTGTCCATAAATGTTCTTGTATCACTTAAAAAATCAGCAAAACTTAGTTTTATATAAATCTTATTGATACTGCTGATTTTCGTAATGATCGGGCTTCATTGACCCTATCCCCCATACAAAGAACACTTCAGAAAATGACTAAATGGACAAAATTCACCTATAAACACTAATATCATTATGATATTCTGCATAAGTAAACTAATGTAGACTTAAATCCCTCTACCGAAGTTTAAATTCATATGGAAGGTGCCACGCACCTATTGCTAAATTTTTCTCCACAAATGTTCACATAGATATCAAAGTTGTACGTGTAAAATTTAAGGCTTCTAAATAGTTTCTCAGAAATTCGAATTCTTGTATTTAATTCTCATGGGAGCTGCCACGCCCCTATTGCTTAGTTAGTTAGTTAGTTAGTTAGTTAGTTAGTTAGTTATTAGTTAGTTAGTTAGTAGTTAGTAGTTAGTTAGTTAGTTAGTTAGTTAGTTAGTTAGTTAGTTAGTTAGTTAGTTAGTTAGTTAGTTAGTTAGTTAGTTAGTTAGTTAGTTAGTTAGTTAGTTAGTTAGTAGTTAGTTTAGTTAGTTAGTTAGTTAGTTAGTGTTAGTTAGTTAGTTAGTTAGTTAGTTCGTTAGTTAGTTAGTTAGTTAGTTAGTTATTTAGTTGTTAGTTAGTAGTTATTTAGTGTTAGTTAGTTAGTTTTTTAGTTAGTTAGTTTAGTTTAGTTAGTTTTAGTTTTAGTTAGTTAGTTATTAGTTGTTTTAGTTAGTTAGTTTTAGTTAGTTATTTCGTTAGTTCGTTCGTTCGTTAGTTCGTTCGTTCGTTCGTTCGTTCGTTCGTTCGTTCGTTCGTTCGTTCGTTCGTTCTTTCGTTCGTTCGTTTCGTTCGTTCGTTCGTTTTCGTTCGTTCGTTCGTTCGTTCGTTCGTTTCGTTTCGTTCGTTCGTTCGTTCGTTCGTTTCGTTCGTTCGTTCGTTCGTTCGTTCGTTCGTTCGTTCGTTCGTTTTCGTTCGTTCTTTAGTAGTTTGAAAGGAGGATTATATACATCAAATCCGAAGAAACACCTAGGCCTCTATTGGGCCTGTTGTGCGTTCCTTAACCAGTGCCTCAGGTGGGAATCGAACCCACCACCTCCGGTCTACCAGACTAGAACACTAACCACTAACCTACCGGAGGCCCCTATTGCTAGTCCTCCCATTTTTTGTCTTTACTATTCATATAGTGGCTTCGTAAAAAAAATTTAAGATATACTAATTTTCAGCTTAAAATTAGCTAACTTTTAAGACCTATTTCCAAATAATTGTAAGTATTAAAAAAAGTGGTTCACGGCGCACCCTATTGGACATACATACATGCTTACCTGTATTTCATACCATTAGTTTATCTTAGGTAATTTTAAAAAGTTCCTACGCAATTGTTTATAAAACACCTATTTTCATATGTTTCGTATTTTTTTGTTCCCATGTGAATTTGACCACTTTGACATGTTCTTAATTTATTTATAGTTAATTTGTCTTATCAACAACAATGTTAATAATTTTATTTTACCACAAATTGTGGACATTTAAGTTGGGTGTTTTTTCTGTTATTTTAATAAACAAACAAAAAGCAGTTCAATTTTACAATGTCGTTCGTTCGTCTTTCTTTTATGAGGGGTTTTTAATCAATTTTTTTTAACCAATTTATTATATAGTATTACCGATAAGAAGAAACCACTTTTTTTCATGCTTCGCTTTCTTTGAATGTTTAATATGGTTGTTTACGTTTTTTTTTTGCACAAGGTTAGAAAAAGTTTATTGTACTTTATGGTTGATAAATGCGTTAACAAATTTAATTGTTGTAAAGAAGGTTTATTTTTAACTATAGGTACTAGTTAAATTACAATTGTACATATTTGATGATATAATTAAATTGTTTTTAATTATAGCTATTGTTTTCATGAGAATGGGAATGTAACAGAATATAAACGATTATATACTCCAACTAATCTGATATATAATAACCAATGTGTTCTTAAACGATTAATAACTTTATAAACGTTTTATAAGAAGAAGTTTGTTGGATAAAGTTGGATTTTGTACTTTTTTATATCCTCTATGCGGAATGTATAGGATCGATTTGAAATTTTTAAAAATTGTTAAAAAGTTATAGCCCTAATGTATACGTTTGTGTATTAAAATTTTGTAAGCATTATAAAAAGGCTGAAAAGTAAGTACTTATATAAAATAATATATGTAAGTTATTACTTGAGTCATTCTATGTAATGCAGACGGTATGTAGTAGTTATTGAAAAGTAATTTGGTGAGTAAGTACAAGTCATTACCAGGATTTTGCAGGGTTGTTTAGAATAATATATTACTACTCTATATTAAAAACTTACTTGTATCCTGATAAAATATTAAGCAGGGTACTTTTACCAGCTCCAGATGGTCCCATAATGGCAGTAAGTTCACCTGAACGTAAACGTCCACTGACACCTTTGAGTATAGTTTTGGCATCTGAAATAAAAATAAATAAAACATTTAAGATATATGTACGTTTTTAATTATTATTTTTAAGTTTTTAAGTAACAATACACCCTAACGAAAAAAAACCTGTTCTGTTCCCTACCAGCAATTGAAGATCCTGATCACAGTATCTTATGTTAAAGCAAAATTTCTGCAATCTTATTGAAATGGGTCTCAAAAATTCCGTAATTTTGAGCTTATCGCGAGAAAAATAATTGAATCACTTTCAGTCGATTAAGACAAGTCCGTCCGTCCTTCTGTCTGTCTGGCTGGATGTCCATGTAAACGCAAGGTCACAATTTTCAAACTATTTTGTTACAATTTGGACCTAACGTATTTTTCGGCAGAGAGACGAAGCCAATTGAAAACTCCAATATAAAACCTCTTTTAGAAAATTCCGTCTGTCTGTCTGGCTGCCCATGTAAACGCAAGGACACAATTTTCAAGCTATTTTGTTACAATTTAGGTCAAATGTATTTTTCGGCACAGAGACGAAGCTCATTGAAAACTCCAATATAAAACCTCTTTTAGAAAATTAGTTTTTCATCCATTTAATATTTGTTAAACAAAATAATTATACCCTAGACCACTATAGTAGGGAGGGTATTATGCGCTTGTGCTGATGTTTGTAACACCCAAAATTATTGATCCTATCCACCCACCTTATAGTATACCAATCGGCTCAGAATCACATCCTGAGTAGATTGAGCTATGTCCGTCAGTCTGTCTGTTTGTGTGTCCATGTAAACCTATTGGACACAGATAATTTGATGAAATTTGTCACGTTCACTTCTTTTGGTCCAACGACGAACGCTGTTGAAAATAATTGAAATCGGTTAATTATTTCACTTAGCCCCCATTCAACCGGATCCCTCGAATAGGGCTTTTGAGCTTGTAATTATGTTAAATGTTCTAGTATTTTAACAAAAATTGGCAAAACTTAGTTTTACATAAGTCTAAATGATATTGCCGATTTTCGTAATGATCGGGCCTCATTTGACTAGCCCCCATACAAAGTCCCTTTCAGAAAATGACTCGAATGTCTACTATTCACTTATAAACACTAGTATCACGATGAAATTTGGCAAAAATAAGTTTCATATAATCATAAAACTCGATAATAAATTTTATAAATTTCATATGGTTGTTCCAAGCCATCCCCTGATGAAAGTCCGTTTTTTCCCCCAAAATGTTCAGATGAATATGAAAGTCCCTTTTGCAAAATTTTAGGAATCTAGTTCTATTAGTTTCTTAGATAAAATATTTTGTTGTATTTAATTCATATGGGAGGTGCCGCTTCCCCCCTTGATAGTCCGCAAATTTATTACCCAAAATATTTATATGGATGCTAAAGTTCTACGTGCAAAATTTTAAGCTTTTAACTCTAATAGTTTCCAAGATAAACGAATTTTTGTATTTAATTAATATGGGAGGTTCCACGCCTTTGCTGCTAGTCTGCCCACTTTTTATCCTAACTAATCATATTGAGACTGTTACATTTTCCGAGATATACTGATTTAACATTTTCTTAATATGGAAGGTGCCACGCCTACTATAGTCATTCCGCCCATTTTGTCCAAAAATATTCTTATGGATGTCAAAGTTGTCCGTGCAAAATTTGAGCACTCTAATTGTACCAGTTTCCAAGATATATGACTTTTAATAGTTATTGAAATTTTTAAATAAAAAGAAGGCTATAGTTCCTTCCAGATATACAGGAAGGTACTGTTAAAATTTTAAGAAAATCGGTCCAGCCGTTTAGCCGTCTATAGACTTCAAACAAACCCACAAAAACACAAAACACACAATCATTTTTATATAGATAAAAATAAATCCTGATGCGATAAAATTATGTCCGTGTAAACCTTGTGTGAACGCTACAGCTAGCAAATTTTCAAGATAATTTGTTAGAATTTGGATCTTATCTGGATCCACCTAGCCTGCATACAACCGTATAAAAGTGGAATCAAGGAAAAATTCAACATAAATTCTTTATTAATGAAAATGAATCACATATAATATTCGTAATTGGTGTAGGGTATCATATGGCCGGCAACGTCTGACTATAATTTCTTACTTGTATTTTGTATATGTCTTTGAAGTCAATGAACTAAGCGACAATTCTGCTAATTAAAAACAACACTTTTTTCCTTAAATAATAAAATTTTGTCATATTTAAACTAAGGCAAATAAATATAGCAATTGTACCCAATAAAAACTTTCATTATCACGTAAGGGGTTAAAATGCTAAAAATTTTCTTAAACAATAGCATTTTTAATCATTATTTTAACATGGTGATGTCATTGGAGGCAATTACTTACCACAAACGATTACAAGTAATTAGAAAAAGTTGTCATTTTAAATTGCATGAAAAAACGTATACGACATTTATATCTTCACTAGCAAGATGACTAATGAATTAGAAAGTATTTATAGAACACATTATTAGACTACTTCTGCGTAATCCAGATGATATGTAGTAGTCATTGAAAAGTATGTTGTTAGGTAAGTAATTACAATTGAAAGCCATTAACCAGTTTTTGCTGGGTAGTTAGTGGTCTAGCTTTTATTTTATTACCGTAAATAAACATTCACCGTTATAACATGTGCACTCCTTATTAGAATTTACAAGTTTTTCTACTTGAATAATATTGGGAGTAAAAAAATATTTATCTCAAAACTTCATAGATAAAATAAAATTGATATGTTTTAATCGAATTTATTATATATTTCATAAATTTTAATAAATTAGATCAAAAATTTAATTGATTTTAAAACTGATATATTTGTCTAGATTTAAACAATTTGGCTTCTTATATATAACTACCTAACATAAGACAAGATATGTAATAAAAAAAAATTTTAATTTTGTTGCAAATACAAGTGCAGAATAAAAAAAATTAAAAACCCTGACTTGTTTCAGACCCAGTTACTTGTTACTTAAATCAATTGCTAAATATGTCTATATAGTCACTAGCTCATTTATAGCTAAAAATGCTGTACATAAAGTATTTTTGCTTTATATAATTTATATTGCCTTAACGCATCAAATACGTTTGCGCATGCACAATGGAACGATAATGAAATAAAGTGGAGTAGTAAAGCGAAAAACTACTCGACCTTGACGAGTAGAAATATATGTACTCTTAATGTGGTAATTGTAGATTTAAAGCAAAATTTGAAACATCTACAAAAAGATATTTTCCTTAATAGCAAAAATTAAAAAAAAAATTTAATAAAATTGTAATTAAAATATGACAATTAAAATTTTTTGTTTAAAAGTCATGTAATAATGTTACAAATGTTTAATGTTAAAAAAAACTGATTACAATTTTTATAACTTTAATAATTTTTAATGTTATTTCATAAAAAGCATAGTTGCTTAATATTAAAAATATAAATTAAGTTTAATGATAAAAAACAAAAATAATAAAAACATTTAATTATAATAGTCAACTAGTTTTAAACCTAAGCGAACAAAATCACCTGTTGTTTTATTTACCACATCAACAACCTTCATACATTTTCACAAAACCCCTTTATAAAATTCTGCACAGCGACTTATTTTTGTTTCAAATCTTGGTTTGTGTTTTGATTAATTAAGCAACAAATCTATAAGTTTCGAGAAATACTAGAAGTTGTTTATAATATTAAAAACGTAAAAGAATAAAAAACAACTGTATACTGGAAATAAATCATAAATTAAAATTTTCAAATGGAAAAAAAATAGTTTATTCATGCGCAAAAAATTTTAATAACCGTTTGACATACATTAATTTCAAAATTCGCAGATCGTGTGTTTAACACAGTTTGATTATTTTTATTTTTTTCTAAACAGTTCTGGAAATATTGCTAATATCTAATATCCTTAATCACATTGACTTATAGAAGTGTAATCGGCAAACAACTTTCTAGCACTTTCTAACTCCATACATGCATAAAATTTCTACTCTCTGACGACTATTATTATAGAGTCAGGAGAACTGAAAAAGAATCCTATTTAAGCTTGTGATAGCTGTCAGATTTTATAGAACATTTAGTATGATATGATCTCAGTCGAAGCAGAATTCGGAAACTTTATCTCTCATTATAAGAGAGAATAATAAAATCTCGAACATGATCGACAACAAGAGAATTGAAAGTCAGATAAAGAGACCAACTCTACTACTTGAGAAATATCTACTAGTAGAAGCTTTTTTCCTAATCTAGGTCAATAAGAGATAAATCTAACAGCTCGTATTTCTGGACTATAGTCTCGTCTATAGCCTGGACTATAGTCTCCTTTATAGTCTGGACTATAGTTTCATCTACAGTCTATACTATAGTCTCGTCTATAGTCTGGACTATAGTCTCGTCTATAGTCAGGACAATAGTCTTGTCTATAGTCTGGACTATAGTTTCGTCTATAGTCTGGACTATAGTCTCGTCTATAATCTGGACTATAGTCTCGTCTATAGTCTGGACTATAGTCTCGTCTATAGTCTGGACTATAGTCTCGTCTATAGTCTGGACTATAGTCTCGTCTATAGTCTGGACAATAGTCTCGTCTATAGTCTGGACTATTGTCTCGTCTATAGTCTGGACTATAGTCTCGTTTATAGTCTAGATTATAGTGTCGTCTATTGTTTCGACTATAGTCTGGACTATAGTCTCGTCTATAGTCTGGACTATAGTCTCGTACATAGTCTGGACTAGAGTCTCGTCTATAGTCTGGACTATAGTCTCGTCTATAGTCTGGACAATAGTCTCGTCTATAGTCTGGACTATAGTCTCGTCTATAGTTTGGACTATAGTCTCGTCTATAGTTTGGACTATAATCTCATCTATAGTCTTGTTTTTAGTCTGAAGAAGAGAAATCTTACAGCATTCAAGCTCATAAGTAAGGTATATTATAGTCTGGACTATAGTCTTTTCCATAGTCTGAAATATAGTCTAGTCTATAGTCTGAATCTGTATAGTCACATCTGTAGTCTAGACTATAGTCTCGTCT